CCTTAGCTCCAAAGGAGTCACCAGATAAAGGTTTTCGGGAGTTTGGTAAAATAGAGGATGCATGCACTAGTTAGAGTGTAACCATTTTAAACATTACTATATGTCTGCTGAAAACTAGGGGTTTTTTATTTCTTATGGGAATCACATTTTCCCAAAAAAGTTTAGGATGGCATCATGCTTAAAATGATGTTAGGTAGAAGTGGCATGCATTAATTGGACAGTAGCTACTCATCATAAACTAAAAGAATGTAGATTATAACATTAATCACTGTGATATAAACATTAAATACTTCTTTATTAATGTCAGTTTTCAACTGTATTTGCTTGGAATAATTTTCATCCCCATTTGTTTGGGCCTGAGACAGACATCAGCCATAGTCTAGTGGTGTGAGCATTCTCAGCAGGGTTAAAAAAACTCAATTCAAGTTCCTGATTCAAGGAATATGGAATTATTGTGTAATAGGATAACAGAGACATACAGACTTGGAGGGCAATAAAGATGGTGAAGGGCCTTGAGGAGAAGCCATACAAGAAGTGGCTAAGGTCTGTTCAGCCTGGAGAAGAAGAGACTGAAGGGAAACCTCATTGCTGTATACAACTTCCTCATGAGGGGAAGTGGAGGGGCAAGCACTGCTCTCTGTCACTGGCAAATAGCAACAGGACCTCAGGGAATGGCATGAAGTTGTGTCCAAGAGGCTTAGGTTTGATATTAGAAAAAGGTTCTTCACCCAGAGGCTGGAGATGAACAGGCTCCCTGGGGACGTGCTCACAGCACCAAGCCTGACAGAGCTCAAGAAACCTTTGGACAATGCTCATGGACACGTGGTGTGATTCTTGGGGATGTCCTGTGCAGAGACAATGATCCTTGTGGGTCCCTTCCAGCTCTGAATGTTCTGTGATTCTGTGGTTTTGGAGGCAAACAGATGTGTAACAAATAACCGAGTTTATCATTGGTTTTGTCTCCTAAAGGATGCAGCACAGTCTGTCAATCTAATTGATTGGGTTCACAGGAGGTAGCAAATCTCACACATCAGAGTTTAATGCATGCAGCCTTGATTTATTTCAGCAGAAGTATTGTCTGCCTCATTGTGCTGATGAGGGTCCTCACACTTCAGTGGAGTTGTTTCTGATATTCTCTGGTGTGAGTTTAGCATGACATCACTATATGATTTCTCCTGGGGATCTAATCACTCAAATAAGTTTTGAGCAGCCAACAGCTACATCTTTAACAAAGTCGTGAAACTTCTTTGTAGAATTTGATTCTGGTTTATCAGAAGGAACTCAGAAACCCTAAAGATAGCATTGACATTAAGGTTTCATTTGAGGTCCTGACAGATAACAGTACCATTCAGGACAAAGTTCTGAACAGCAGGTTCAAGAGGCATACTTTGGAAGATGTTCTTTACCATTTGATGTTCCTAGGTTGTCTAGCCATGTAATTGTTTTGCTTGTGTTTTGAGTAAGTGTGTTTGTTTCACCCTGTATTGCTTGTGGAGTGTGAAAACAATGTTAAAATTGTGGCTTTCTCTCCCTAAGGCTTTCCTTGCAGTTCTGGTTGAAAATGCAGTAAATATTGAGAAAGATTGGAAGCATGTCTTGAGTCAGAATTTTCTAGCAAATTACTTTTTTGGTCTGAATTCCATATTTGTTTCCTCTGGTTTGTCTTTATTGGATGCTTGAGCTTCTGACGTATGGCTAGAACTATAGGATTCCCAGCAGCAGAGCCATTTCAGAAGGAGGAGCTAGGAAGGTTTATGATGAAAATCTTTCTTAAAATAGCTGATTTCAAAACTTGAACACACATAACCAAGTAACATGAGAATCAAAAAAATCCCACCCAGACTTCCATTAAATACATGTTCCAGAGGCCATTGATTTTTTTTTAAAACACATTCTGCAAGTGCTGATTCTGCAAGCAGTTTGTCATAATCAGGTCTAAAAGCCTTTTATCTCCTATCAGCTGATGGCTGTGCTATAACCTTTGGCTTCAGACATCTAGTAGGAACTTGGTACATATTTCTGTGAAGAATAAAACTCCAGTGGCCTTAACAGCAGTACTCATTGTGTGTAACAGTGCTGGAAATTAGTTTTTCAGACGCTGATCTTGACAGGTCAGCTGTCACAAATTGATAGACGTATCTGTAAATACATCAGTCCTATAAACAAAATTCTGTCTGCGAGAAGTGGAAGCTAAAATTGGCAGAGTTCTGTACAAATGAAATGTTCCAAAGCACAAGGAGGCACAGGAAATCTTCTCTTCTGGAAATGGTTTTCCTTATGTTCCATTTATGAATTTTATGTGCATAGTTTGCTTTTTAGAGGCTGAAAAGTTTGTGCCTCCATAGAGGATACATGGAGTTCTGTTCTGAAGTGAAATGTGGTCCTTCTCCTGCACTTCACCCTGCTGCATAAAAGAAGAATCTTTGTCTTGCTCCTTTTGAATAAAAGGAATAAATTGATGGTTTTGCACTGGCATATCTTCACTACTTTTTGGAATTCTTGGAGTTATTCAGAACATGAAACATAGGGTATTTGAGAAGTCTAAGACCCTGATATGAATTCAGGTAGTTTTTGAAAGGTGAATGTATAGGAGAAGGAATTGACATGTCAGTCCACCAGTGATAAAGTAATCATTTGAATGTGTTACAGTTCCTGGAGAAGAGGAGGCTCAGGGGAGACCTTCTCACCCTCTGCAACTCCCTGACAGGAGGTTGGAGTCAGGTGGGGGTTGGTCTCTTCTCCCAGGCAACCAGCAGCAGGACAAGAGGGCACAGACTCAAGCTCTGCCAGAGGAGGTTTAGATTAGATATTAGGAAGAAATTTTTTACAGAGTGCTCAGGCATTGGAATGGGCTGCCCAGGGAGGTGGTGGATTCACTGTCCCTGGATGTTTTTAAGATGAGACTGGATGTGGCACTTAGTGCCATGGTCTAGTACCACAGTAGGTTTGGACTTGATGATCTTGGAGGTCTTTTCCAACCCAATTGATTCTCTGATTCTATGATTCCCATTTTTTAATAAATATTTAATCATCATCTGTAGATTTTGTAAGCCATTTTGGTCAACATCTTGATCATATACTTACTGCCTAGAACAGCTGAAAAAGGCTTAAACAGTGAACTTTCTTTACAGATTTGAGACACAATATATGCCACAACTACTTATACTGGTCCTTGAAGTCTGTTGTACCACACTGATTTATGTCAGATCAAAAATCTGTCCATTTGGTTTGGCAATATTAAGAGCTAAGAAACATCTGGAAATATTTTAGAGCAAGCATCTAAATTCAAACGATACCATGGCTACATGTATCTACTTGTGTTGCTGCAGACACTTTTATGTTCAGAAGCCCATCTGTCACTCCTAACTGACATCACAAGGGGAGAGTTTTCAATCTGAGATACTTCAGCATTCAGGAGTGTCATTAGAAAGCTGAATATTATTCATTCATTCTCCTCCTCTATCCTCGAGGTCATCTGGATAAAGGAGGTGTACCTTAATTCTTTCCTCTCCTGTGTCTCAGCTTTCAAGATTTAGTGACTGTAGAATAATTTTCATCAGCTGTTATCGTTATGATGGCTGAATAGTCACTGGATGTCTCATTCTTTTCTAGTTCCCTGTTTATCAGTTTAATGCAACAAAACAAAAATAAAATATACAGATCTCTTCCATCACATTTTATTTGTTGATTTGATTTGTGAGGCTTTAGGATAAAACTGAAGTCATAGAAATAAATCATGTAAGACATCTAGCCATAGGCATTTTCAGTGAAATAAGTTCTTTCCAAGAAGGTTTTGACTTGTTACATGAAAATTAGCTTCTGGCAGGAGGAATCCACATTTCACAGATCTTGGACTGTGTTTAATTTCTACAGGGCATGCCTTCAGCAAACAACACTGCTTCCACATATACGAGCATGGTATTGGTGTTTAAGAGTCGAGCTGAAAAAAAAAAGAAGGAAGCAGTTTCTCCTCAATGCTATTTATGACTTCTCTGAACAAAATGATGCCATGGAAGAGCTGAAAAAAAAAGAAGGAAGCAGTTTCTACTCAATGCTATTTATGACTTCTCTGAACAAAATGATGCCATGGATTCTCTTTGAAGGCTAAAAGAGTGTCTTATTGCTGCTGCTGCTTAAGAGCATATTTACCCTGAATAATCCAAAGGTCACTTCAAATTGACTTTTTTACTGAATCTGTTCTATTCTGCTGCATTTCTCTTCAGAAAATGCAGTAAAATTGATTTTTGAAATGATAGATTTAATTGAAAAATAAAATATTTAGATGCAATGTTCCAGGGAGATATCCTGAAAACGTGTGTCCAGGTGGATCTTGGAGATGCATGAAGCAGGGGTAGGTATGAGATACCTGATCATCAGGAGCCTGGGACATGAAGAGTCTGTCACTGTTTTAGAGATGAGGTAGAAGTAGAGCAAGAACAGACTAAATAGGACTTAAGATAGGATCTGTAGAAAGTCTGAGTGAGGAGACAGTTTGACACCATAGAATCTGTCAAGAATTTATGACTATTGGTGAGCAAAAATGTTGTGCAGCAGGAAAAAATGGTTGGTCTTTGATAAACAGTAGGGAATTATTTGCAAACAGACAGGTGTCTGAGCAGAGAGGGAAATCTGGGATAGTAAAATCACAGATAATCCTGAGGACTCTCAGGCAATATAAATTTACTGAAGAGAAATGTCATATCGTCAGACAATCTAAATTTACTGAAGAGAAATGTCATATCAGAGTGATCCAAGTCAAATAATACAGCAAATAATCCACAGATAATAAAGCAGTTATATTATATACTTTCAGGCAAGGTACTTGTTTATGTCTGTCCTCTGAATCACACTAATTCTGATTCTGCATTAAAAAAAGCCACACATACCTCGTTCTCTCTATACCAGGTCTAGATTCAGTCGAGCTACTGTTAAATGTTTATGTAAAGACTGAAAGATTTCTGCCTAACAGCCCTTGAGACTCACTGTACTTTCTGTTCTAGTTGGCAACGTGGGACTCTGAGAAAGGACTGAACGGTAGCCTACAAGAACGACGTCTGGGCAATGACTTACAAGGATTGACGCTCAAAGTGGTGACTGTCTTGGTACGATCTTCTTTCAGTTCAGGAAACAAAATGCTCAAAATAAAAAGGATCTGACTGAGTATTCTGGGCACTTCCTGCAGTGTTTTTCCCTATCATTTTCAGTTCTGTATTTTTGGATGATCAGTTACATAAGCAAGGAAGATAGATGATGGTCTTTTATTATTTTATGTGAAGCTGTGCACTGTCAGAGATACAGAGTATTTGTTTGTTTGCTTATGCTGTTTTTTCTGCATTTTAATTCCTACTGGGCATGGAACCAGCATAGGGCCTGTATGCACAGCATTCCAGATACTGTGCTTTAACTTGGATAGGCTGTTTCCAGCATTTCATGGATTTTAAGATCAGATGGGGCAATTATGATAGCCTAATCTTGGCTCTTGTACACTGCAGGCTGTAAAATTTAATCAAGTGTTTCCTCCATCAAGCTGATAAATTCCCATTGAGATAAACTATATCTTTTAGAAAGTGCCATCTTTCAAAAAAAAAATCATTACATTCTTGAGACTACTGTCTGTTAGTATCTGGAGTGGTAGCAGAGCTCCTGTCAGCTAAATGCTAAATTAGGGGCAAATTAAGGCTTGAATACATACCTGCCTGAAATATTGTAGTCTGCACATTGCAGAATGCAGTGCCTTTTTGTGCTTTTTACTTCTCTTTTTCTGTATCGTGGTACAAACAGCAAGTACCACATAGGATAATTAAGGCACTCCCTCCAGCTCCCAGTTTTCTTTCCTCAGTTTATGCTGTAGCTGACATGAGAGATTCCTTCTACAGCAATGTGAGTACCAGGGCACAAAGGCAGCCAACTGGGGTGGCTGTGGCACCAACACTCCCTGCAGGAAAGCAGGACACCCAAGCCCAACAGAAAACATATCACAAAATGCTGCATTTCCTTGGTCCCAAAACATACCTTTGAATTAAAATATTCCAGAAACCAGCACCCATGAAGGTTATTCTTTGAATTTTCAAAATTTAACATGTTCACAATGCCCAGCAGTTTTAGCTCTTGTTTCAGTATGTCTCGTGGGTTAAAGATTAATTTTTTTATTCAAAAGATAGCTTTCAAAATCTGACATAGATGGACAGCAGTAATCTTCCTATGTAGGAGTCATGTACTTAGTTTAATATCTGTATTCTAGACAGCTAGTTAGGACACTAAGGTGTCTGTGCTCCCTTTATAATCAGTGAGAAGAGGCAGGTACATCAGAGAGCAATCAATCCTGTGGGCACCAGGAAGTTGCTAGTGGGGGTTGACTTGTCTTCTGGAGTCTCTGCCTCTTCTCAAGAACTATGGAAAACCCAAGGCCATGGATGGGGCTCAGGTGCTGAGGCAGTGGTGTCTGGTCAGGATGCTTCACAGTATCCCATGTGGCCTACAGTTTTTGCCTTGGAAGGTTATGAGTGCCAAGTAGTCCAGAATTAACTCGGCGAACTTCCTTTTACTAAGAGAAGCAAACTAAAAATCTCGTTTCAAGTATCAGTTAAGGTACTGTTTTGTTCTCAGGAAGAACCTTTTGTGATGGTGGCAGAGAACATACTTGGGCAGCCAAAACGATATAAAGGATTTTCCATTGATGTCCTGGATGCACTTGCCAAGAATCTAGGCTTCAAGTATGAGATATACCAAGCTCCTGATGGCAAATATGGACAGCAACTCCAAAACAGCTCCTGGAATGGCATGATTGGAGAACTCATTAACAAGGTACACAGAGAAAAACCTGCATTGCAAAAAAACAAAGAAGAAAAAATATGACTCACTAGAGTAGGGTTTCAAAGCTTTCTAAACTGGTTGTTTAAATTCTCTCCCCATTTCGCATTACAAGAGAATGAATTAGGAGGAAAGCATCAGTGCAGAATGCTTCTGAACTATGGATGGTTTGAGAGTGATGTAAACTGTGCAATTTAAGATCCTGTATACAGGATAGAAACTAGACAGTCTCTTGTTTGATTTGCTCCCAATTGCTCTAACATAAATTATATCGGTATGAATCTCTATGTTTATATAGCTAGAAGAGGAGAGGGCATGTATATTTGTGTGAGTGAATGATCATAGAAAATAGAGAAAAAATAAGGTATTCAGTTTAAAATATGAGTTACTTACTATTTTCATTCTTGTCACTATGTCTTTGCTACTTGTTGTAGGTGTGACTTTATTTCTGTCGTTTTGTGTCAGTGTGTTTGATAACAATCAATTGTTTGACTCTAAAACAGGAGAAGTGGCCCTAGTAATAGGGGGACCAGAATTGAAACTGCTCTCAAGATTATGAATTCATTTAAAACAGAGAGGACCAAAATTCTTTTCTTAATTACAGTCTTGCAAATCAGGAGTACATTAATTGAACTTCATTTAAGTAAATGGGGAATGTTTGTAGCTTAGAATCTCCCAGAGAATGAAATTAGAGTGCATTTTGTTCATGTTTGTGCTGTCTGACATGGGACAAATGTTAATCAAGGAGAAGAATCAAAGGACATTCCATGATGCTGCTCTTTCTAGAAAAGGTTACTCTTCTGTAGTGGAATTATTACTGAAAGTGAAAGCTTTCATCCTCATTATCTAGTAAGTAGGTGGCTCAGTATCTGGTAAGTAGATGTTTAGGAAGAAATAGAAGTAATTAAAGCAATAGCAAGCATGTTTGTGATAATGGGATATTCTTGGTCAGTGCTAGGAAACATAAAGAATGTTAACCTTATTTTTGCATTGACATAAGTTGTTTGACTTTCATTGATCTGAACATAAGGGAAGAAATCCTGTGAAATTTCTTTGGAAATTGCTTTCTATGAAGCAACAAAGTGTCTATTATGATATTTTTAATGGTATTTTTGCTACTAGTTGTTCCACTGACTACAAAATACTTCAAAGCAGACATCCCTCATCTAACACTTGTTTTACTATCCCAACAAAAAGTAGAGATAGGAGACAAAATGTACATTCTATTTTTTGAAGACAACTCTTTTTATTAAGATGGAAAAATATTGAAAATCTAATTGCAACTCTTGAAAAACTTGGGAATCTGATTTATTAGCTCCTATTTTAGCCTTCACTGAGTCTGCATGCTCATTAAGGACCATTTACTTGTAAAACCTACTTGTTTTAAATGTTGAAGTCATAGCCATTTCAGGAACTAAGTTGTTTTTGATGCATTCTTCCTGTTACGAGTTTTTGCAATCACTTTATTCATTTTAAAAGCCAAACAAAATCTTCTCCCCAGCTGTCATATGAAATCCCTTTGTGAATATGGAAAGTTGGCAATTCTGCAGGGAGAAAAATAAACATTAGCACTTTGCACCTTGCTATCAAATACACAAGCTCAATAAATAGTGTTTCCTTCCTTAATGCTTGCAGTGTACCAGGTTAATATGGTTTGGAGTTTTAGGCCTCTTATGGAAAACAAGTGAGGGATAAAGGTTAAATAAGTTGCACTCATTCCAGAGAGGAATCAGGGTAATGCATTCTGTTCAAGAGTGCCTTGACAGGTTATGTTTCATTACTCTGTTTTAGACCACTGCAATTAACGAATGTTCAAATGATGAAATGGACTCTGGGGTTTTTTTAGACTATATAAATATGTCTAAATGCTCTAAATTACAAAAGAAATCCATAGAGTCACTTGGTTCTTAAAAAGTTTCTCCTTAAAGCTCATGCTGGCCAAATTCATGGTGAAAAGAAGAGATCTGACCTGTTCTGTTTGTCTCACAGAGAGCAGACCTAGCCATCTCAGCCATCACTATAACACCCGAACGAGAGAGCGTTGTGGACTTCAGCAAGCGATACATGGACTATTCTGTGGGGATCTTAATCAAAAAGCCTGAAGAGAAAATCAACATCTTCTCTCTCTTTGCTCCTTTCGACTTCGCTGTGTGGGCTTGCATCGCTGCAGCCATCCCTATAGTTGGGGTCTTGATCTTTGTCTTGAACCGGATCCAGGCAGTGAGGGCACAGAATGCTTCCCAGCCAAGCCCTTCTGCCTCCTCCACCCTCCACAGTGCCATCTGGGTTGTGTATGGAGCCTTCGTTCAGCAAGGTACTTACCCTCTCATGAACACCACTGGCAGAGCTGCAGAATGATCTGCCTTGGGTAAAGCAGGTCAGGACGTGTCAGTCTTGGCCGGAGTGGTCTAAAGATGAAAGAGAAGGCTCATTTGGGGAGGTAATATGTTTTATTAGCCCAGCTGATGAAAAATGGGAAGAAGTAGGTAAGTTTGGGGCATTATGTTCTGCTTTACTGTTCTCTCAGTACATCTAGAAAGAGCACTTTTGGCTCTTGCTCTTTGGGAAAATTGTCACACTAAGAAATAAACTACAGATCTTCTTGGTGCAGAATTACCACACTTCTCCAGCTCCGAAACCAGCACCTTTTCTAATTGTTTAAATGTCATTTATAAATATAAATTTATATGGTTTTGAACTCATGTGAGACAGTTTATATCTTGGTTCTTTGAACTGAATATGAAAATGATTTGTGGTCATGTAACTAACTTTACACTCAGGAATCTCTAGGCATAGGACTAATCCTACTGAATTCAGTAGTATTGCTACCATTAATAAAGTTACATTTGTACATAATTGCCTGCAAAATCTGCCCACACAGATTTGTGTCATATCTATAATGTTAGTTCTAGTCTTGGAAGGCAGGTTTTGTTGAATGCTGACATATGGGAAAGGTAACTTTTTGTCTACGTTTTTTTTTCATTGTGATTGCAAGCTTATTAAGCTTCAGCTGGAAAATCCTTCCTATTGCTATGAAACTTGATCCCTCATATCATTAAGGTGACATCCCTGATGGGTTTATGTGCAATAAGATATAATCAGCACAAACATACACCAAAGTGACTAGAACCAGCTCTATGGTAAGGTTTAGACTCCAGTGATGTTCAAGCATAACCAGGCTTGAAGACTGCTAGAAAGAAATCTTCATGTTATTTGAAATCTTATAAAGAGGAGCAAGTCATGACCCTAATGCTTCAGTCTTTGCAGATTGAAATACAGCAAAGATAGCACACAAACCATTGGACAGTTCTGTGGGGTTTTTTTTCCAATTCCAAAATGTTAATTGAAAACAGAATATTACTATATTCCGAACACTGTAATGATTTCATTCCTGCATATTAGTTGTGCTTCACCATTCAACGTTCTTTATTTAGAATATTTCTCATGCTTGCTAGATTTGATCCTCAGTAATTCCCAAGGGAAATATTTTGAAAGACTATTTTCTAGAACACTGTCTAGGGCAAGAGGTTGACTGGGGAGAATACTTGTAAATTATCAGTCTTAACAGAAGCAGTGCTTTTCCCTCAATGAAAGGGCAGACTGGAGGGGAAGCAGAGAGGGAGCTCCAGCAAAGTTTAACACAAGAGAGCACACAGAAGGTGATTGTAAATGGAAGTTGCTGAGAGACCCTTGTTTTCTCTGTTTGTTTGTAGGGGGCGAATCTACTGTCAATTCTGTGGCAATGCGCATTGTAATGGGGAGTTGGTGGCTCTTCACCCTCATCGTGTGCTCTTCCTACACAGCAAATTTAGCAGCATTTCTCACAGTATCAAGGATGGATAATCCCATCAGGTAAGAGCCTCTTCTTAACATGAAGCTGGAAACCAGGATTTCACAAGAAGGTATTATCCATTTGAGCACTCATTCTTGCAAGAAGGAGATAACTCTAATAAAATACTCTGCTTATTTGCAGTGGCTGTTTTTCTCTTCTCTCCCCCTCTTCACTCCAAGCAGCCCCCATGCAGTTTTCACAGGTGCATGGAGGGTGCAGTGGCACTTTAATTATGTATTTTTTCCAGGAGAGAGGTCTTTCGTGAGCTACTGGTTGTTTTCTGGCAATTTGTGTGTGTGTGTGTATGTAACTTGGGGGGGGGGGGGGGTGTTGTTCAGCAACTTTAAAGACTAAATAATGTTTTCATTCTTTTCTCATGAAAACATGGTCAAAATTTCCACCTTCACACTGGCATGGAGTACTAGGAAGTGATTAGTCTTTCACACTCAGTGCTGACCAGGTTAGAGCCTGTATGTTTTGATATGATGGAGTGGAGAGGTGGCAGTGTAACAGGCTGTCCTCCTAGCAAATGCTGAGCCAAGCCTTTCAAGTGCTAGAGGCTGGCAAAGTTAAGCTCTTGGTCTCATTTGGGATTGCATTGGGAAGACTGGGATTGAGAGCTTGTGCTCACCTCCTGAAATAGAAGTATTTTCTCTGAGTTGAGGCTGGCATGTAAAAAACTGCTTTTACCTTCTCTGTGGTGTCTGCACAGAAGGACATCAATAAGTACATTTTTCATAAACATGGGTGCAACAGTATTTCCAGTGTTTAACTTGCCAATGTGTGCTTGCAGATGATGTAATGCTTTGTATGGATATAGTCTTATAATTATTATTAAAACCAGGCCAAAACCATAACAAGCTTTGGTTTTAAATTAATTTTCTCATAGTTTGGCCAAAATAAGTGGGTTTTAACAGGAATAGAATTAAGTACTCCAAGTAATCTCTTGAAATAATGTAAGAAACCATATAGAATAAAATTATCTATGTGTGAGGCCTAGATGCACTGGGAATAAGGTTAAGCTGAATGAATAAATTGCTCTTGAAACCCAAGGCACAAATAGGTATCCAAAAAGCTTGAGTAATGATGTTCTTAAAAATTTCTGAAAGTTTTTCTTTTTCACTGCAGAAGAAATTTCCTGTTTGGTCTGATCAGCACCTTTTAAATCTCACCAAAGTTCAGAGGACAAAACTTGGGGTGTAATTATGTGAGGAATCTCCAAAAAGAAGACAGAGGTTTAAGAGCAGAACTATGAATTATTAGTGGAGGCCTTTGAGGCTGAGCTGTTACATTTACAAGGGGTTTTGATTTCCCTTTTTATTAAAATGAAAGGACATATGTAAGAATCTTGAGGAGGAAAGAAGCTACTTGGGTAAAAGGACTGCTCAGTGTTGTTTCATGAGTATGGAACCCAGATGCCCTTCTCCTGTTAGAGATGGCAAAGAATGATAATTAAATGCCTTTCTATACCTAACAGTAGCTGCCACTCCAGATTCCTGTTGACAACATCTGCTTGTACAAGGTGAGGATACAGAAGGAAGAAAGCACTCTATTGTGATTTGAAAACATCAGCAGAGTAATTCAGGTGCCAAAAGATAAATGTCAAAAGTAATTTAAGTTGTCATAAGGTTCGTTGCCTGTGCACCAGCTACTTGGCTCTAAGGGCAGAGGTCTCTGTTGCACATTGTCAGCCACAATGTGGATTGTTCATATTGCCCAGTGTCAAAAGTGGTCCTGGATGCTTTGGCTTAGGCAACTGAATCATTCCTGAGGTAGTCTGAAATGGAGCTGTCAGAGAGCTCTTTGAATTGTTTGCTGGTTGGCATAACTGAGACAGTTATGGGACTTGCTTGGCTTGGCTTGCCTAGGTTTATTTTACAAAGTTTGCAGAATCTCCCCAAGATCCTGCTACTCTGAGAGAGATGTGGACTAACCCCTCTCATTGAAAACTGCTAGTGCCTTGGGAAAGAAGTAACGGGGTAAAGAAATGGGTTCTCTGGAAACTGTTGAACCTTCATCCATATCTTCTATGATGAAGATGTTTTTATGTCACCACTCTTTAGGAAAAATGTTTTGTTAGATTTAGAACAAATATTTTTCCTGAGAAAGTAAATTACTGCCTTACATGAATTCGTAGTGACCTGGTGTCTTGACTCCCAATTCTAACTGGTGTCAGCATCATATGATGTGGACTGGCTATTTTTGCCTTTCTAATACTGTTACTCAGCTTGGCCCTATTGTATCTTTCATGAACCCAGAAAGGAATACTTATGTGAAATCCATTTTTCCCACCCAAAGAGGCACAATGAGTTGTAGTTGCAAATTTGCTCACCAGCTGAGAAGTACCAAATCCTTCTGTGTATACTTCCATTGTTAAGAAAAAACAACCCCAATCTTTTCAGTAAATGTGTGCTGTTATCTCTCCCTCCATAGAGAAGTCCTCTGGTGTTCAGTACTGCTGCTGCTAAATTGCCAGCAGGAGAGAAATAAGTATTATGGTGCTGCAGTAGCTGCAACATAGTTAAGATTTTCATTACAAGACTGATTTTCTTCACAAGTCCTCTCCATAATGCCTAATAAAAGTTGTTTCAGCATCAAATTTGGCATGTGTGGTCTGTGACTAGCAGAATAGAGGTATGTTTGATTGAATAACTAGATGTCAATCAACCCAGTGTTCATTGCCTCTACAATTTTACTGCAAAACAAGTGTGTCATAGAAATCATAAGTGATATTTATTAGAAGGGATTTAGTGAGATATTCACTGAAGCAAAGCTGAACTGTTGGAAGGCAGATTTTTGGAATTAGCATGTCAGATGAAAACCTGCTGATAAGGGAATAGATTTTTCTTTTAAATCTGTTATTGGTAAGTCTCACAAGACTGTTCCAACTTGCCATGAGTTTCAGGGACTGCCTGTGGCTCACAGAAAGGTGAAATACCCAGAGCTGGAGGTATGGCAGAAAGTAGCTTTGATATGCTGCCTGTATTTCTGTATTTCCTGACTGATACTTCCTAAATCCTAAACACGTTCTCAAGTGTTGTGCTGTCCAGATGCCTCCCATGTAAGAAACATGCTTATCTTGGAAGGAGAAATTATCCTTCTCCTTGGATTTTCCCCAAACCTCAAGGGCTTCATCACAAGGGTGCTGACATGAAAAGGCATGGCTTTTTGGTCTGGCATGGAAGCATGTTCTTCCTTGCTCCTCACATGTCCTTTGTGGCCATCACTCATCCTCCTGTGACAGGGTGGTGGGAAGGGTCCAAAAATGGAGTTTGAGACCCACATCAAAGCCTTTAACCCTTCACAAGGTCAAGGCTACCAGGAAATATTGTGAACCTTCCTTGTCCATCCTCAATTTTCAGTTGCTGGCAGTTGGTACTTCTGCTCCCCTTTGCTTTTTTTACTTCTGTTTCTCTAATCCCTCTGTCCAAATTAACTTCTGCATGTCTCATCTTCTCTTTGCCCCAACCTCAAAATAAGGGAACAAAGACCATGTCGTGGTGACCTCAGAATTTCTGTGTTCATGAAGGTTCACAGAAGGGCAGTGAAACATCAAGCAGATTTCCCAGCCACATGTGTGCAGAGGAGTGAAATGTTACCCAGCTGAACAAAAAAGAAAGGAAAGGCTGTTTGTGTGAATCTGCTGGTGGCAACTACTATGGAGATCAGGCTAGGGAGCTGTGATCCATGTTCTAACTTTGAGCAATTCTCAGGTTTTGTTTTCAAATAGAAATCTAGGTAATATTTAGAGCCTGTGCTAATCCTTGACAAACTTGTTTAAACCCAAATGATTTGCATTTATTATTTTAATATTTGCCTTCAGTACTGTATGCAGCCGAGGAGTCTTCTAATGGGTCAGTCTACCAAGTAAGGCAGAACTATTACATGTGAGTTTGTTCTTTCTTTTGTCTTATTACATTTTCAAACAGCTCTTGGATCTGCTGTCTGACCTTCCATTTGTAATTATGAGTTTAATTAGCAGTGACTTACATTCCAGCTTCATTTCTTGTTAACAAGCAGACTACATGGAGTTCAATAGCTGCACAGATACTCTGAAACGGAGGTTTAGGAGAGCTTGTCTGACAAGAGGTTAAGAATTATGCAAGAATAATAGGACATAGAAAAATATTCTATTTGCAAATTCAAAAGAGTTTGAATTTAAGATTTTATCAAATTGATCCTTAGCATTTGCACATGCTATGAATGTTTTGAAAGGCATCTGTATGTATGTGTTCATATATGCACACAAATGCATGCTATATCTGCTTTTAAATTCACAGCTGTTGTTTCATGACTTGGGATATCCTTATTTGCATTTTAATCCCCAAATTTCTTGTGTTTTGGTGGCAGCTGAAGATTTACTGCAGCTTAGTTAGGGTGATAGGCTGGCACTTCGAAGACTTGAGTCCAAATTCTTTTTCTACTACAAGCTTTGTTTGATCTTGGCAAGCTTAGCCTCCTCTCTGTCTTGGTTCTCTTTCTGCATAACAGGGTAATAATATTTTCTTATCTTATATGGCATATTGTCAGTTTAGCTGCTTTAAAGATGATGGCAGAAATAACCATATTATAGTAGTGGTGAAAGTATCAAAAAACGTAGATTTTCTGGGTTACATGCAAAACAGAAACAATCTCAAAATACTTTAAAGGAAAATGAGGAAAGTACTTGGAAGATGCCAGCTAGAAGAAAATCAACAAAGTTTTCATCTTCTGTAGTTAAGTGGATTTGATAGGGTTGGTAGCAAGAGCCTCACATGAATCCCTCTGTATTTGCAGCGATTTTGTCTTGAAATTCTTTGTGCTTGAAAACAGCCTTTCTGTTGTTGCTATCATATGTGGCTTTTTAAATATTTCATTGGATTTTCTTTTTTATGTTTAATTTGTACTATGTTTTGCGGTGTCTGTGCAGCACCTCAGGCACGCTGGCAGGAGGCATGTATGAATGAGCATGATAAAAAATAATTATTGTGATTATTATTTAAGGCCTGTGAGCAAAAGCTTCAATCATTAAATAACTAGA